TAAAAAAAAAAAAAAAAAAAAAGCAAGCCTTCAGGTGCCTTTTTTCCAAATGGGTGGAACCCTTAATGGCCTCTTTTGTTTTTCATAACAAAACTCACAAGGATGTCCTAAGAAGCCGATGTCTCGCCAAGCAGAGGAGCTTTCCAATATTTATGATTTGTGTTAAATTAAAATAAATGTAAAATACCCTAATAACTTTATCACCTGTGCCTTAGTTACTTTCTCCTTGCTGAGACACAGTAGCAGACATCCACAATTTAAAGGTTTATTTTGCCTCATAGTTTGTAGAGGGTACAGTCCATAGGCAGCTGGCTTCAAGGGAGGGTGGCACGGCAGAGAGGCCTGGCAGAGGAGAAACAACACATGGTACGGTAGTCAGGAAGTACAGTGAGATCAAGGAAAGAGAGAGAGAGAGAGATATGTGTCCTTCCAGGCCATGTCCCAGCGACCCACCTCCTCTGACCAGTCTTTACCTCCCAATGTCACATTTAACTGTAAACTCAGGCGTAGACTAATACATTGATGAGTGTCACTCCTCCATGATCCAGTGACCTCCCAGAGGCCCACCTATCCTCACATGAGGCTTTGGAGGTACATCCAGATATAAATTACATAGCAACCACATCTTCTTTGTCTTTGTCTTTTTCTGTGCAGATATAGAGCTGTTGCCTCCTGGAGTCGTGTTCAAGGAATTGGGATTCCCTTGATTACTGCCATTGAAATTGTCTCCATCTGGATCCTCTCCTTCATTCTGGCCATCCCTGAAGCAATCGGCTTTGTCATAGTTCACTTCGAATACAAGGGTGCACAACACAGGACCTGCATGCTCAGTGCCACATCCAAGTTCATGGAGGTACTGATGGATTTTATAATTTGCTGTTTAAGTTTTTTAATTTAAAAATTAAAAGGAATTGGTGGGGATGGGGGATGTTTATACTTCAGCATTTTGAAACTCAACATTCCACAATGCCAGGTGTGTTTTCCTGTCAGTTCAGTCAAATGCTCTCCCAGATGCAGGAAAAGGAGATGTGAAGCCAATTTTAGAGTGAAAAGAATAATGAGTCTACTTCTTATTCTCATATTGTGACACAACTTCAGGCACAGTGGTTGTTCTACATCAAACTAAGAATTCTGAAACTAATTTACTAAGAAAGAGGGACTAGATGTGTATGTACATTTGTTTTGGCGGTAAGAAACACAGTACACGTTCTATCTGAGAGACAGGAAAATGCTTATTTTATGTTACAGCAGACCCTCGAGTTACTACCAGCCTAACATACGAAAAACTTGGGTTATGACCAGAATTTTAGTTTTAACTTACAAAAACAGTCTTGACTTATGACCCAAATGCTGGCTGTTTGTGCTTTCAGATGGTCTCAAATACAGATTTAACCCTTAAAGAGTTCTGAAAGGAGCATTACAACATCCTTTCCTGTATGGGGTTGAGAAATCCTGAACCAATATCTCTCTAAGGACACTGAGATCTGCCTGTATATAGGAGAGAGACTTTGAAGGCTGTGTAGAGGAGCCTGAGCCTTCAATTGACCAACTTGAGTTACAACTAGCCCACAGAACAAATTGAGTTCGTAAGTCAAGGGTCCACTGTATTTGGGTAGGGAGTGGTACATACATAAGCATATATTAATACAGATTCTAGATCTCATATACAAATAAGATAAAAATTGCAGAACTTTTTATTCAAGCATTTTAGTTTGGAAAACAGTTGTTCTTTAGTTCACCAGGCCACATTAATGTTTCTCTGAGAAGGGTAAGCATATACTGAGTGTAATGGGAAACTCGCTAAAAATGCATTCTTCCTTTACAAAACTAGTCACATGTGGGCTGAGGAGGAGAAACACAACTATTTCTCTTAAGTCAACATAATTTAGTGCTTTGATGTAATCATCAACAGCGCAGATGCCACAGCGAATCATTTACACACATCTCAAGGAATGCTTCCCCAGACAGAAAATTTATAAAGTTTATGGCTTTGTAGTTGATCAGTTATCTTGCTTGGAAATTCTTATTTTAAAATGAAGCAGGGCTCATGAAAACTGCCCACAAGGCAAGCTCAAAATTGAAGTCTTTTATTTGTCTGTCAGCTTTTTAATTAGGACAGTATTCACAATGAAAAACAAAGTAGGAGGTTATCAGGATTTGGGCAGCATAATCTACATATTCCAGAGAAAAACACTAGAGGAAATAGACTCAGTGTAAGAAGGTGCTTACTAACCACTGGAGCTGGACACAATGAAATAGGGTACTTCATAAAAACTGAGTCTCCTGTTTAAGTGTTCAGGCTAAAGGTAAACCACCAGGCCAGGATGGCATTGACAGCTACAGAAAAGGGTATGAGTTGGGCTGATAATACCTTAAGAGCTCCAACTCTAAAGTCTCGTTTGTTTTCCTAGTTTTATTTCCTCTCTTTTTTTCTACCCTTCCTTTCTCAACTTTGCCCCACCCCAGTCTGATCAGAGGCCTGCCTCCTTCAATCCCTTCCTAACGACATCAGTTCAAAAGAGATGTGTGACCTCTTGCTCAGCAGGCCTCTTCATGGAGGAGGCTCATACTCCATCCAGGCCCCTCAGGGGTCAACTTCCAGACACTTTGTGGTGCTTGGGGGTGATTTGCACGAGCCAGCAATGCAGCAGGAAGAAGGGGTTGCCAGGGAGGGCCAGAAGGCTCAAAGGAGTGTTGTGTTGCACTTCCAAACCAAAAACAAAAGGCAAGAGTCCTTCTGATTTTTTAAATTCAAGCCTAAACTCCTTCTGCAATGTGATGGGTACAGGGAAATATCTGTACAAGCAGATTTGAATAAACTAACTCCTTAAGTTTTTCCTTAACATGAGGATAGAATTCAGGGCTCTCAACTGGGAAATAAGTTAAGCTCTTAAGTGAGCTTAACTGGGAAATAAACTTTCTATTTGTTTTCACTAACTTCTAATTGAAATTTATCATTTACTTCAATTATGATGGTGAGCAACAGTTCACAACAATTTAAGGATACAGTAACAGACATTTTCATGCCACTTCCAACCATACACTCTTGAGATGCTATTTATGTTCATTTCTTCAATATTCTAGTATTTAGTAGAGCCATCAATAGGTTCGATATTTAATTTGTTGATAAATGTATGCATCACTATGCCAGAATTTTACATTTAGTATTTTGATAGCAATGTTTTGATGTAATTGGTTCCATTATAATCATATATATTTTATTTTATGCACGTAAAGTTTTTGTTCTCCAAAGACAGCATTCACCAAACCTCCCAAAGGGATCTGTGGCATAAAAATAGTTAGAACCCCAGACTGAACTTTTTGTCTTCAGGACCCATTTTTAGATTGTTTTAACAGACATATTGTAAATGTAGCCCAGTAGGCTCCTTTCTATATTCAGAAACCATCCAGTTTTTCAGAGAAGCATAGTTATTTTTTACTGTGGGAACTAAGGTATTATGGGACGCTGCATTAGTAAATAAACAATCTAGAGAAACATTATCAGAAAATAAAAAGCATTTCTTCCCAAGTTTGTGATTAATTTAGTGGGAAGAATTCAGATATCATGTCTGGCTTTCATTTTTATAGAGTGTTAAATCTTCTCCCTGAAAGACACGTGAAACTGAATGATCTCAGTATTTACAAAGCCTTGCCCACAGGGAGATATGTTAAGGAGGCTTCAGATAAGGTATGCTGCCTCAATGGTTTCCAGGTGGCAAGTATTTAAAGAGATGAGTAGTACAGTTATTGATGGCTCAGATAGGCTGAGTTTGGGGTCACATAGCAGGCATATCAGGAAAGGGGTTAACTCCCCTGAACTAAAGCTATGCAGATAAGCTATTCATAATCTGCACTGTTTCCAAACAAGATATTTACATTAAGCACACTCTAACCACAATAATCATAAGTTCAAATTTTGAGACTCGTCAATAAACCAAGATACGCCATGTCTTAAATCATGATTTATAAACCTTGGAGGGGAATTGTTTTTATTGATAAGGTTGCTTTCAGTGTATAATTGAAAACAACTTCAGCTTATAAAAAAGTACCCCTGCCAGGATATTTTTTTAAATATGCAGTTTCGAGCCAGGGATTTAGCTCAGTGGTTCCGCTGCCTGCCTCGCAAGCGCAAGGACCGGAGTTCGATCCCCGGCACCAAAAATATAAATAAATAAATAAATAATAAATATGCGGTTTCTTCTGCCCCTGTTATAAAGAGAGGCTAATTTCAGAAGTTTCAAAGCTCACTGACTTTTAAGCACCACTCCAAACTCTTTACTACAAGCAGAGTACGTGAACATAAACGCTTATCTTCAAGTATAAAGATTTTTCAAGCTATCACAGGCACTGCAGAGTTGACTTATATATTATGTCCCTCACGTTCTCTTGCATCTCTTCACGGACAGTACTACCAAGACATAAAGGACTGGTGGCTCTTCGGGTTCTACTTCTGCATGCCCTTGGTGTGCACTGCAATCTTTTACACCCTCATGACCTGCGAGATGTTGAACCGAAGGAATGGCAGCTTGAGAATTGCCCTCAGTGAACATCTCAAACAGGTAAATCCATTATAATCAGGAATGCCTGTCCAAGACTTTTTGAAACCAGGAAAATTACAAATAGTCTTGCTTCGTAACAGTATTTCAGCGTCAGACTGTTCATAGGACAGTGGTTCATGGGATTCTAGTGGAGCTAAAGAAATTCTCATTGCTTAGTATTTTCATGATACCTTTTCATTGCCTGGATGTGTTTAGACACACAAACACTATTATGTTACGATTGCCTACCGTATTCAGGACAGCATTATGCTGTACGTTTATGTAGCCTAAAAGCAATTGGCTGTACCATGTAGCCTAGGTTTGTGTAAGTGCACTCTCGGTATCTACAAAATGATGAAATTGCCAAACAATGCATATCTCGACTCATATCCATGTCCTTAAGCAATTCGTGACCAAAGTATCTGTAGCAGATTTTGCCTGGTTTTCTAAAAATAAATATACTGTCTTTCAATTTTTTTATATAGCTACACTTTAGGAATTCCTTTTGTGAACTGGGGGTGGGGGGGTCCCCTGTAAAACAGATGGCCCTATAGGCTGGGTCCAAAGGGAGAGGAACTATTCATTTAGTTCACCAAGAATGTACTGAGCATGTGTATGTGGGTGCCTATACATTATTTAGGCTTGGAACTAGGCCAAGACAGAAAGAAGCATATGATTTCCTTCCCTTACAAGTTTTACAGTCTAGGCATAGAAATAAAAATATAAACATGAAGCAATTAGAAAGCAGATCTTCCAGTGTCTTTTGCACTATGTCCCGGTCTATCTGTGCTAGGAAGAATCAACTTATACCAGTGCTTAAGAGATTTGCTCTACTAAATGGCACTTAGGAGCCAAGATTTGGTCCTCGTGACGTTGGCATTTGGTTTGGTCATGGCCAAAGCTTTAATAAGTTCTGACAGCAGTTAGCAGGGTTGGCTGGAAATCTTTGAAGTGGGACTAAGAAATCGCTAGCAAGAAGTAGAGAGCCTCCCACTCTCTGACTAGTACTCTATGGGACTCCTGTTCTTGCTTGTTACTCAGTTGTCCCTAATTGCTCTTCATTATAATGACAATAATTTTATTGTCAGCAAGGAATTGTGTCCAAACGCAGGTAAAAGAAAACCCAGTTGACCAAATAGGGGCTGATCTTTCTCCAACTGAAAAGCATTCAGATATTATTGCTTCTCTGGTAGAGGAAGTCAGAGGCCAGGTAGCTGCTGTTTTGCTGATCTTAAATCTTGGAAATGGGACTGTCACCTCTACTTCCTTGGCAACTCCACTTTTCCCCCCACTACCAGGGACTGAGTCAAGTTCTTCACATTGATCTGCATCCTCAGACTCTTTATATATATATAT